TTTTGAAGAAATCGCGCTGTCTATGACGAACTCTTAGCTGCTTACATCGAAAGAAGCTCAGCAACATCTGTGCTATTTCCTGGATCCAAGCACAGCACTCACTGGATTCCGATCTGCAAAGGAACTACATCTTTGAAAAAAAACGTGCCGAATAGGATCAAGTACATTTAATTTATTTCAGTATTCCAAAAGGGATTGGACTGTCAAAACATGGACTGATCTGGTGCAGAAAAATTGCGCTTCGTTTCGCCGTACCTATTCGATTTCATGATCAGTCAATTCCCGCGCTTTAGGCAAATTTACTAGAATATATGGTATACCTAACACTGCCAACGTTGCCTGCCTTATACTCTAGCCCGTGGAACCATAGAAACCTCCTCCTGAAACTTCTGTCCCCGGCACAAATAAAACATCTGTCAGCTACAATGGCTCGGAAGGGGGCAGAGTTTTTCTTTTGCACGTCTGATGGCCATATTCCAGTTCAAAATCCAAAGAAAATTTATTAGTAGCTGAAAATCTATCAAAACCCTTCAAAAGCAACTAATCTTGCCTCAGAACAGCCGCATTTATCTTATATTACATCTATTGCATACAAAGATTCGTTCAACAGAGAAACTGGGGCGTAAAACCATATATATATCTTCTACTGTCGACTGCTGGATGATAGAAAGGGTTATAGGGTCTCTTACGTCAAGCTTTTTCAACAACTTTTTAGCGAGCTATGTCTCACTGACGCCTCCGCACTATTCATGTGTGAAATTGCAAACTCTACGAGGGCTGCGCGATTATGAATACCAATTATCACTGTATGCATTCCTACAACGATAACTAAGCGCCGAGGAAGAACCACTTATGGGAAGAGTGAGGACGGTTTCTACAATGTGAGGTTTCCGAACTATTCTGACAGTTTGCCCCGATTTTGACGAAAATGACGAATCAGCATGAAAATTATTTCCCGATGTCGGTAGCCCATTGTTTGACTGTCTGTACTGCTTGTACGTTTGCAAACCACTCTACTGGACCCGGTGGTGTACCTGCCTCTGTGATGCTGTCGCACTGACATTTTTCTGCCTTGTGCAGAGATCCCGTCTGCGGAACTGAACGCTCAGCGCTATTAATGTCACCGCCATAGTACTTTCAAGTGAGTAGTCTAGCGAAAATGATTTTTTAGCCCGAATAATTGATATTGACAGCTCGATGCAAGCTGACATTGTTGAATAGGTTTGGTAGCTGCCCGACGCAATCAGGACCTATGAATTGCAGTTTGTGTATTTTCGAGCAGCTTTGCAAGCGTCTGCGCATTGCCGTTCGAGCTTGCTAAGGCGTACAATCAAAGAAAGCTCCAAATCCAGAACTTGAAGGGTTCCCCAGCTGTGGCGCAGTACTTGCCGACTTGGAGAAACTTCAACTATTTGGAAACGAGGACAGATAGGTATGTTAGATTAGTTAGTTAGTTACTTAGTTAGTTAGTTAGTTAGTTAGTTAGTTAGTTAGTTAGTTAGTTAAGTGAGGCTATCGCCCAGGTGCTGCACCTGCCACAGTGAAGTGACAAACATGTACCAAATATCGCCTAACCTATTAATTTTCTGAATAGGCCTTGCATCATGAAAAACTTCGTCAAGGCCACAGGTCCAGTCGGCCATCGACTTTATTCAACGTAGCGAAAGTTTTGTTTGTCAGGTCTAATGCCACCCAAACGTTTCCCCTCTACAAACGATAGACGCCACTCTCCGTCATCTCCTACGAGACGGAATCGGAAGACGGTTTTCACGCTGCACGTTTTCAGCCTCGCAACCTGGCCATACATCGCTCAAACAGAATGCCTAACAAAACATGATGAGTGTCTTCAGCTTCCGACTTCCACTGTT